GCAGAACCATCCACACTTTTTGAAGGGCCGAATACAGAGATCTGGTGCACTACGTGCCACAAGGTCCCCAAATGACCCTCCGCAGGTTTTGAATTTTGAGTTGTCTTTCTAGACCAGTTGCCATCCAAGGTTATAGAACCCAGTCTGTCCTGCTATTTACCCATAGCTGGAGGGAGAAGAAGAAGAAAATTAATTTCTTTCCCAAGGGTATTAGCACGTAAGTGAATGTAATGGATTTGGCTGGAATTCGAATCCATTACATTCACACACACACACACACACGCGCGGGCGCGTGCGCGCACACACACACACACATATTATAATGAACAGAAAGAACAGTAAGATATATAATCCAGGGTTGTTATTAATAATTTTATTTTTACAAAACAGTGCTCAGTGCAAATCTATGCATGTCGTCTGGTCTTGTTATTTGTTTTAAAAGCTGTATAGTCTATTAGTAATTAAAATTAAGAATCATATTTTAAAATTGTAGTTAAATACAATGTATTCATATACAAACAACCCTTTTAGAAAAAATCTTTATGTATACAAAAATTAACGGCAAAATAAAAGTGCCGAAAACTTTTTTGTCGTTGAAAAAGACCATACGACATGCGTTGAACGGATGTCATCATTCGTTGGAAAAGGCACCCCTACACTACCTTGACTTAACCTCTTTTCGAAAGTAACTAATATATTGATACAATAGTTGTCAGTGAAAATGAATACCCTACCACCCCTTGTTAAAATGATTGGATTTCCCCATATCCTTAGAAACTAATATTATGAATGTATGTGCTTATAAAACTCAGTAAATTTCAAAATAAGTTATTCCAAAATTCGCTTGAAAATGAAAATGAACTAAGGACTTTGATTTAATTCTATAATTGAATTTGAAGTTTTAGCTTCTGCTTTTGAAACATGGTAATTCCTGTGTAGCGATTGAACCATATTTTTAAATAAGTAAATTCATAATATATATATATATATATATATATATATATATATATATATGAAAATATATACTCTTAAGGTGTGCTATATTTATGGGATAAAGTGCTCAATATCAGAGATAGAGCGTGTGTAAATATAAAAGCGAACATTGAAGTCAATACTTAGAGGCGACAGGCTGTTTCATATATATATATATATATATATATATATATATATATATAAATAAATGAAGCAACATATATATTTGTATATCTGATATATAAATTATTGCTCAGGTAAAAACAAAATTTCCACACTAAATAATTCAACTATTTAGAATTTCAATGTTGCCTAATTAATTTACAATGGCTGTTAATTATCATTGAGAAATGTGCGTTAATTTCCTCGAGCCATTAGTCTTTGAAGCCTCCTATTATTTTCTTTTTCCAAAATTTTGAGGGACTCGAATAAATATTAAAATGCTTATTTCTTTCAATAAGCTTCCTCTCTCTCACACACACACGCACACACACATACATACAATCACTAGCTTATCAATATAATGATATTTAAACTGACGAAGTATGCCATGTTTCGATGAAAGCTTCGTTGCAGCCACTGTTTTTACAGCTGTAAAATATATAAATTTATATATTTATTTTATTTCTATAACCCCTTATTTCTCAGTCCATTCCTGGGCATTTACAAACACAGATGTGAAGAGATAGGTACTGATCATTTAAGCGTTCCATACCATACATCCCAAATGAACCCACCGATAGAAGACAATGATCCTCTCGAGGTGTACTGATGATGCCCGTGGGTCGGGGCAGTGAGTTATTATAACGACATATATATGGGATAAGAATGATCTTGAACAGAAAATCCAACATCCTCTACGAAGTTTTCCTAATCCTGGGTATGACGATAAACTACATCCGGCACCAAGGCCTCTGATCAATCAATTGCTTCTGAAATATATTGCTCGCAACTGGACGAATTAAAGGCAGAAATTCAAGAAAATCCCCCTAAATTGGCGAACAGGAAAGGTGTTGTTTTAAATCAGGATAGTGCCAAACCTCACGTTTATTTGGCGAGCCGTTAAAAATCGTTTCAGCTTGGCTGGGATATGTTACCTCACCCGCCATATTCACCAGACATTTCTTCTTCGGATTTTCATTTATTCAGGTCCTTGCAAAATAATCTTAATGGTAAAAATTTTAATTCTTTGGATGACATAAAAAACACCTTAATGAGTTATTTTCAGAGAAACCAGCAAAATTCTGGGAAGATGGAATCTTTAAGTTGAAGGAAAAATGGAGAAAGGTTGTGCAAGAAAATGGTTCATATTTAGCTGAATAAATATTTAATGGCATAATTTTCTTTTGTGTCTTAATTTCCCTTAGAAATAGGGCTGAACTTTTCAGTCAGCCCAATATTTTATTCATAGAACGGAATTCCTCTCTTTAATATAATATTTAGTATTTATCTATTAACAAACAAACCCCGAGGTAAAAGATGTAACAAAGAGCACCGGTAAAATGCAGAAAGCAGGGATAATTGAAACATTGAATTAGAAAAATGTTTAAGACCGTAATGTGAAAATGAAATAAAAATAATAAATAAAATAATAATAATAATGAATAATAAAAAAAAGAAGAAAATAAAATATATTTTCCCATGATGTTAATAATAAAGGTACTGGAAATTTTATTAGCCCACTTGGCTTCGTCAAACGCCCATTAACCGACGCTATTTAAGTCTATAAAAAGACAAACATTTCCTTTCCTCATCTTCTTTCTCACTATCGCTCCAAGATGTAGTAACTTGTGGAAAAAGAAGTCCACGCTGGGAGGCGTTCATTTCCCCCGTCCAGAGACGACTGAAATCTCTTCCCACTTTCCAACGCATGGCGTTCGCACTTGTTTTCCAAAATCTTCATCTTTGAAATAAATCAATCTTTTTTGGTCATTCCAACTCAGCTCAATGCTGATTCGAACATTATAACAATGCTTATCCTTACTTACTCCAGCTCCCATACAGTGGAAGAGGCACATTGTACACAAGTCTCTCAGATCTTAAGTAAATATATATGCAGATGACACCACAGTGTACGGGAGCACCTCCAAATATCTTGATGAACAGTGCTTGGCAGCTGGTCTCTTCTCTATTCTATCTCTCACAGCTGATATCATTCAATATATCCTAAACTAAACTCGTAACATTTCATTACAATCAAGCAGGTCCTAAACCTGCACCAATCCTGATGAAGGGTCATACTTCTGTCCATGTCCAGGGATTTTTGGTGACATAACCATTGCGTGTTCAATCCCTAAGCCGGGAAGTGTATACTTGGACTCAGTGGAAAATAACACACACAAAAATCAAGGCATTTTAGCCTCACAATGTAGAAAACTTATTTACAAACCTCGATGAAACCATCGATATAATCTGTAAGTATATATATATATATATACGTGGTCTGACGACTGCATATAGCATGAAACAGACTGTCGCCTCTAAGTGTTGACTTCTATGTTCACTTTTATATATATATATATATATATATATATATATATATATTATAAGCGATGCCAGCTTAGAAATACTAGAATTTTGACAAACTTACAGGCATATAGAATTATCTACGATTTTAATGCACGTGATACATTACTGACCAATGAGAATCGACCCAAACATAATTGAAAATACCAAAGTTCTGTCTTTTTGTCTGTTTTCTCTCAATATTGTTACGAAGCTTTAATAAAAAGGAAACATGTTTGATTGATATACGTTACCTATTTGTTTTTTTTTTTATCATATCATCCTGTCAGATTGATCTGTATTTGATCTTTAATTCATATATATATATATTTATATATACATATATATATATATATATATATATATATATATATATATATATATATATATATATATCCCTTACTGATAGCACAACTCAGGATTTCATGCACAACGCAATCTTCAGGTGCTGAGTATAGACTAACAGTTACGTAATTTAAATGTTAATAGAAATATTTGGTAATCGCAATGTTATATATTATGCTGGGATTACATATTTTTTATTATTAAAGATATATTTGGCATTTAAAATAAACAGTATTTGTATGTGTATGTAAAATGTAAAAAGAATATTTTAGACTTGTGAATATAATTTTTTTATATTAAGCATAAAGGAAGATTACTTGTTTTGTTTTTTTTAAAAAAAAAAAACGAAAACAAACTGAAATTAAAAATTAATCTGGTTCGACGTATTTAAACAGATATTTATGTTTAAGCCTACATGTAACCATCAATTCATTTCTCTTGTTTAATAAGCTAGGGTTATTTAAGTGTTTTAATATAACTAATTTTTCAACAAGACATAAATTACATATTTTTCCTTTCCCATTGTAACATTTGCCTCTTGCTATAATATCCCGGATGATAATATTTGTATTAGCACCATTTTTTAATTGCCAGAAATATTTAGCGAGAGCAGTGCTGTTTTTGTATTGTATATTGCCTAGAGTAATTCGATAATGGTAGAAACGAAATTTCCAAGGATTTTCAGTTGAACCCCCAAAAAATTTTTTTACCAGAATGTATGCTAGCCCGGTATACAATATTATCAGCTAAACATTCACCGTTTAAGGGAGAGATCATATTTTTTTCGACAGTTGCATTTCTTTTTTAAAAGAAATTAACATTTATTTTACGGTTGTTTCGTTCTAAAGCTTTTATATATTTAATTTTATTAATATCAAATATTTCCTTATTGCTGGAGTTGGTAAATTTGGGTTTGATTATATATATATATATATATATATATATATATATATATATATATATATATATATAAATGCATGTTTTTATTAAAAAATAGACAAAACTTGTCTACATTATTGCAAAATTGCAAGTAACGATAAACTCGTATATACGAGACGCGGAAGCGAAAATCGCGTCGCAGCTCGTGACGTCACACATGACCACGCGAGACTGAAAAACGAGAAGTATTAAGTATTACTTGAAATTTTCATGCAGCAAGGGCGGACTATCATTGTTATTTCCGTACGATCACCGAAGTTAAGCAACGTCGAGTCTACTCTGTACTTAGATGGGTGATCTCTTGGGAATACCAGGTGCTGTAAAGTTGGATGTGAAGGTGTGGTAATGGATAATGGCTTGGAATTGTAAATCATAGTCGATTTCCAATCCCAGTTGGGTTTCTTATATTCACTTACGCGCAAATACTTCTGGGAAAGTTAAGAATCCACCTCGTCTCCCCGCCAGCTATGGGTTAATTAGTAAGACTTCTATCACTAAAACCATTATTATCTCCCCGCCAGCCCAAAATAAAATTGTGAACAAAATATTTAGAATTCAGCACAAGATGTTCCATAAAATTTGATAAGCCGGTAAACAAAGGCAACAAGCATAATGTCTCTGTTTTGTATATTTTTACATTTTATTTTTTACATTCAGTACTGTGTTCATAGTGTCCTTGTTTTGTCTTTATTATACAACATATATATATATATATATATATATATATATATATATACAGAGTGTGTGTGTGTGTGTGTGTGTGTGAGAGAGAGAGAGAGAGAGAAATAGATAAACAAATGAAGAGCGAGAGACAAAACAGAAAGAAAATGACTGGATGATTTATTATTGGGCTGTGTAATGGCTACCAGAATAGCAAACAGTATTGTTGAAACAAGCCCCAATATAAATTCAAAGTAGAATTATTCAGTCAACAAAATATTTTGCCTGGCCTTCCATAATTTTATGCTACCACACAGTTAAATTAAATGTTCTATAAAAAAGAACTATTTCAATTTTGATCTGATAAATTCATTGAGGATTTTTTCAGTCTCTTGTATTTGTTGGAACTGATAACCAGAAGTGTTGTATGGAGCAGAAGAAGTGACAGTTCGATGGTGATAATTCTGAAGAATTTGCTATTCCAGTTTCACGATAATTCATTACGTCAAGATAATTTGTTACACGTAGAATATCTGATCGCAACTCCATGGTCATTTACTACGTCTAGAAAAGACGATACATGTAAGAAAATGTCACATCTTACCTCTATGATTCATAACTATGTCTCCAGAATTTGTTACATGTTAAACAAGTTCGCATCCCAGCTTCATAATCATTTATTAGTTCTAGTAAATGATACATGTGAAAGAACTTTCTACCCCACCTCCGTTTACTTCGTCACATTTGTAATATGAGTGTAGATGTCATTAATGGTCAACTTTCGTTCCCGGCCAAATATATATATATATATATATATATATATGTGTGCGTGTGTGTGTGTGTATATATGCATGTATGCATATCTATATATGTATATGCATATATATATATGTATATATGTATATTTGTCTGTATGTATGCGAGTGCGTAAACGTATGAATATAAGCATATACATACAAATTCAAACAATAATAAAAATAATAATTATAAACGTAATCTCCTACAATTATTACCCTATTTGTACTTAAGAAACTGGCAAATCAGATAAGAAAACGAAATAATGGCCGAGTGAATGCATATATAAATATATACTGTATTACTTAAGCATTAAAAAAATTATTTATGTAAAAAATTAAATACAATTTTCCTAACTCAAGAAAACGCTAGAACACTCAATAATGTTTAGAAAACCGGAAGTCAAAATAGCTACACGTGACAGAAAAGAGGTCAAAGAGAGAAAAGATTAAGGAGATAGTGTAAACTAAAAAAAAAAAAAAAAAAACTACGAAAAGAACAAATAACCACGACATTCTACACGTATGCATATACGCTCAGACGGACGCATGGGCACACGCGCGCAGACGCACGCGCAGACGCACGCACACACACACGCATACACTATGAAGAAAAAACTTACACGAAAGTGCATATAAAAAAAATCGACAATTAGAAGCAGTCAGTTGCTGATACCCCCTGACGAATGAACGGAGTGATTCCCGCGGGGTCTTCCTACGAAACTCTGGAGTCGGAATACTGAAGGTAACCTCAATTAGTGAGAAACATTTACTTTTATGTATTCTCGCTCTCTTTCTCTCTTTCTCTCTCTCTCATATATATATATATATATATATATATATATATATTAATGTGGGTTTTAAGAGAAGCATAAAATAGAAAGAAAAGCAAGATATTGTAGCATTATTGATTGATGGGAACAGAACATTGGAAATTGTAAAAAAAATGTTGAACATAGATCAGAGAACAATCAATAAAGAAATTGCAAACATTGGCAAGATAAGAACAAGAAAAAAAGTGTCTTGGAGAATGTCGCAAATATCGAGTTTTGAGAGAAATGAAAATGCCAATAAGCAAGAAAAGCGGATTGACTATCAAGAAAATCCTAATTGTTGCAAATGTCAATAGAGAGAAAAGATGCAGAATGTTAAGAACATTAACTGAAAACATGGAGATAACAATCTCTAAGGAAAAATCACAGTTATAAACATGCAAATTGGCCAAAAAGTAGTACATGAAAACTGATTTTTCATTGGCAATTTTACTGATGAATGTAGAGCTACATTGGATTGACCTGTTGGTTGTGTTAGGATTTGGGTTCTTTCTGGAAATAGCCAACCAACACAAGGGAGAACAGTGGGTGAGATGACCTAATGTTATGAGCTCACCTCTCCTACATCTAGAAAATTCTACTAACAATGTTGGACTTTATATCAATGACTCTAAAACTGACTTCAAGGGATTCAACCAGCAAAGCTCAACAAAAACTGTCTCAGGTGAATCAATAAAATCTGTTGAATCTTTTACATACTTAGGAAGCGAAATAAATTCCACTGAAAAGGATGAGAAAATTTGCATAGCTAAAGCGTGGACCACTGTGAATAAAAAGGATATAATGATACAACACAAAAATAAGTCTTTGGTTACATCGCCAGACGGAGACACTAACTACTTCCTCATTAAAGCAATACCCCTTCTTGTTGACACCCTTTTCTCTTTGTTATCACCTTTTACTATGTATTGAGAACTTGGCTCAGCAAACATAATCATCGAGGTTTTACTTTATCACAAAGACTCTCAAGTTGATAGCCTGCAAAAAAATGACTGATATCAAGATGTCAAGATGGCTTAGCTATCAATGTAAACCCCATTACTAATGCCACAGTTCCACTACATCATCAAGAAAATGCTGCCAATGATGTTAGATTCCATGTCAACACCTTTAACACTGAATTCATAGACTTCAGCCAGCAAGGCTCAATACAAACTGTCTCAGGTGAATCAATAAAATCTGTTGAATCTTTTACATACCGAGGAAGCGAAATAAACTCTACTAAAAATCATTTGAAAATTCGTATAGCGAAAGCCTGAATAAAATGGATGTAATCTACAAATCTAATTTAGCAAAAAAAAAACATCAAACGCAACTTCTTTGACGCTACTGAAGAGTCGGTTTTATTTTATGGTGCGACTGCTTGGACATTAACTAAAACACTTGAGTCTAAGATTGATGGAACCTACACTCGGATACTGAGAGCTATAGTTGACATCTCTTAGAGACATATCCAACTCACAGCTCTATGGACCCATCCCTGATATTTCAACAATCTTTCTTTATCGCAAAATGCACTTTGCCGAACACTGCTGACAAGTGAAACAAGACATTGCCAGTGAAAGAGAGGGTTAAAACGAAGGCCACATCTCTCCTTACCGAAATAATTCCAAGTATTTGTGTTTGTTTGGTTATTGTTCACACACAAGAAGCATTCAACCTTGTGCAACAAGAATTATTTTTGTGAGCTTGCTTATATATATATATATATATATATATATATATATATATATATATATATATATATATATATAAAACTTTCGTCTTTCCAAAATCGAATGGACTTGGTTATATTTATTTTTCTTTTAATCTGATTCTCACCCGACGAACTTGCAGATGGACCAACAGCGAGCTTCCAGATTTCTACGATCTGATGACCACTCTCAAGGATCAAAACAATCACAACGTGGCTGGAGGGTGGCTTTGTATTGACACTGGGAAATGGAGACTTGTGTCTAAACTGCGTGGGTCCAGTGGGGTGTGGATACGGTGTTACAGATGTAGGAACGTGATGGTTGGCGTGAATATGCGAGAATGCAGAGAAGTATCGTAACTTATAAGATAAGATATTTTTGAGTGCTACAAGTCACAATCAAGAAGCTTTAAACTAAAGAGTATGTTTATGTAAGATAACGTTCCTTCCCATTCTGCAAAGCTAAATTGGCACCCTTTTCAAAAAATAAAGATTTCAAAGACGCTAGATTAATGGGATGGACTCGAACCTCTCCAGATATTAACACAATAGAAAAATCGTGGTCCATTATTAAAAGGGATGAAGGTGAAGATTTGAAGAGAGGTACGAAGGGGAGAGGAAAAATTACAAACCTGGGGGAGTACCGGAATGGGAGTAGAAGTTTTTGTAGCTCTGACAGTTTCATATGGCATCTAAGATGAAGACTGTCTTTGGGCTATGTCTAATAAGATAGCCTGGCCATAAGTTGTTGTCAGGTTTATATTTTTATTTTCAAGTAGCCTTTGTTTTATTTGGTAAGACAGTATCCCGTTAATAAATGCGTCCCTTAAAAATTCGTGCTGGGATTGTTCCGCTGTCAATGTCATAAAGTCGCATTCCCGGCTTTAGAGCCTTGGGCACTGGTTTAAATATTCGCCCGGTTGTTGTCGCCTAGTAACGAGCAAAAATGGATTTGTTTTTTGTTTTGTTTTTGGTTTTGGTTTTTTATCAAACGAACTTTTTTTTATAAAATGCCAACATGCAGTTTCGTAGTCCTCCGAAAAAGAAATCCTTGTGTAAATCTGCGTGGAAACATTGCGAAACAATAGAGTAACCTTTTTCTGTCCCTGATATTTTTGTCGACGAGACAGTCTCTTGGGCTGCTGGGAAGCTGTCAAATAAAGTTTTTTTTTTTTTTTTTTTTTTTCAGTGGTGCCTGCATTCAGTAGTATTTGAGTCAGACCTATCGAGGTATAAACGTTCGAGTTTCAGATACTTGCCCACAATTTCATTGAATGAATTGCTAAGAAAAATACACGAACGTAAACTTGAAGTGAAGCCTTATTCAATACAATTTGGCTAATGCCCGTATGTAAGGTGCAACCATTTCTTTTATAGTTGTGTAGTTCAAGGAGGAGACAACTATGGCTGCATTCCGCCACAATAACTTTTAGATTTATTTAAAAATAAAATTCTCAGATGATTTAATCAAACGTAGCAAATCAAGAACAATATTTAAATATAAATATAGTATAAGCAGAAACTCACCCATTATATTAACCATATTAGCATCAGTATATCCTGAACATTTTACAAGCATACATTGTTTAACACAAATTATTATGAAAAAAATTAAAAGGACATGAAAAGTTAAAAAGTAATTTAGGAAGTTGATTCAATCATTATGAGATGCTATGATAATGATTTAAGCGGGTAGGGTGTGGCGAGCAGCTCATTGCACTATCGCTACTTACATGGAAAGTGCTCGGACGAACTACATTCCTTAGTTCCGCCAGGTTTAACCTTCACGGCTAGGACCCACCATGCCACTTACATTGTATCAAACCAGCCACATTCCCTCCGTATTCCATAGGTGAAAAATATGTTCCACTCGAACAGCTTATTTCGACGGAACACTGCTTTAAGCTTAAGTTATAAGTAATTTCCACTTTTAGGAACGGTAGGAAATTCAGTCGTCCAAGTTTTTTTAATGTATTAAAAACCGAACGTCAGAGTTCCAAACTATAATAAAATAAAAGTAAAGAAACCCTGGGCGTGCCCATTAAATAAATTTGCAAACATATGTACATTAACTCAAAAGAGTAAAAATAGTCTTCATGTTTTTAGAAAAAACCTTTGATCTTCATCGAAGATTCACTGACCATCCGAGTTGTTGTTGTTGGAGATTATTCCTTTGAAGTCGCTAACACGTGTTTCTTTCAGTATGTGAGGAAGGAAAAAAGCTCTGTAGCCACGTCTTCTCTTCTGCTGAAAGTCGAAATCTAGTGGGTTTTATAAGAAAACAGGAGAAATTTCCTTTGAAGAAGCAGTAAATATTTTGATTAAAATTTTTAGCGTGAGAGAAGTTCGTTATTCAATACTCGTTGGAAGTTTATGAATCTGAAGAAAAAAGAAGACGGAGATTTTTTCACATATGCTGGACTCATTAACAAGGATTGTGAAAGATTCTTATTATATTTAAAGGGTTAATTTTCGTTCAATTAACGGCGAAAAGTAACGCAGAAATACGTGCTAAAATTCTAACGAAACTTGAACAGAATCAAAACACTACAAGAAATATCGGACAAATGTTAGAGAATCCTAAATCTGAGACGCGATTCGGAAACAATTGAAGAAAAAGAATGTGCATACATACAAGCTAAAGAAAATGTGGAAAAAGACAAATTAATCCGTGTTTCAGATGTAGAAGTTTACATCTCGGAAATGACTGTGCCTTTAAGAATTTAAAGTGTTACAAGTGTGGAAAAGTAGGACATAAAAAGTCACACTGTAAAACTAAAACAAGGAAAATTTCTCACAGAAGAAAATATTAACGCCAAACTTATCAATAGCACTCTACGATCCAAAAGCAAAAATCGTATTGGCTTCAGATGCTAGTGACTATGGTATAGGAACAGTAATACTATATAAATATGATGACGGAAACATGAAAGCCGTTGCACATGCTTCGCGTTCGCAGAAAAAAAAAAATATATAGCCAGATCGAAAAAACAATGATCGGCTCCGTCAGCCTTGTTATCTGCTACTATTTACGGAGGGCATGGACCCGTCAGTCACGATGAACAGATCTCCCTTCGAAGAGGCCCCGTGCCTTGAGAGAATACTGGGTCTCAAACTCACACCTGACCTCAAGTGGAACTCGAACATACGATCCATCGCTAAAGATGCAGGTAAAATGGTCGGCTGTCTGTACCGCTCCAGTAAGTACCTGACTCCTCATGCTACCTCTACCTTTACAAGAGTCAGATCAGGCCGAAAATAGAATACTGTTGTCATATTTGGACGGGAGCTGCCGAGTCCTTATTCTCCAGTCTTGATAGAGTTTAAAAGCGTCTCCAAGTCCTTTTCGGTGACGAATTATATTCCACCTTCTAAATTCTCTCTCACGGGCGGGGTGTGGCGAACAGCTCATTGCACTTTTGCTACTTACATGGAAAGTGCTCGGACGAGCTACATTCCTTAGTTCCGCCAGGTTTAACTTTCACGGCTAGGACCCACCATGCCACTTACATTGTAGCAAACCAGCCACATTCCCTGCGTATTCCATAGGTGAGAAGTAAGTTCCACTCGAACAGCTTATTTCGGCGGAACACTGCTTTGTGGAACAGACTCCAAAGGGTGTTTCCCCGATCAGTACAATCTTAACCTTTCCAAGGTCTAGAGTTAAACACCATCTCCCTTTCCTATTCGTATAAACTAACCCTTAACTTAACCCTCGACATCGAGCGATTTTAGTTTCTTTTTTAACAAGAAGAAGATTCCCGCTTTTAAAACATGCTCTTTCGTTTGATGAAGTACCTACAAGATAGGCAAATTAATACGGATGATACTGATGTAGCAGAAAATCCTGTTAAACACAGTCTAATAAAAGAAATCAGTGCAACCAACACCTGTCTATATTTCTTTTGTAACTATTTGCACGGTTCGGATGGTTGTCTCAATCTTTATTGCCATATTAGACTACCTGTAACCCGTTGTGTCACTGGCGGTTCAGGTTATAAACCATTGAAGTTGATTTCAACGTTTTATTGAAATTAAAAATTAATGATTCAGGTAAATATTCCAATTCGTTCGTGTCATCATTGGTCTGCTGTACAAGTTCATGTTTAACGTTTTACGGATTGTTTACAGCATTTAATTAGAATAGAACTTCCGGGATAAACTTGAACTTTAAATCAGATTAACTTAAAAATATTTTTTTATATGCCAAAAAAAAAAAAAAAAAAAAAAAAAAAAAAAAAAAGAAAAGAAAATTAAATCATATTCAATTGAAAATATTTTTTAAATATTTCCAAAAAAAATATTTTGTTTAAATATTTAAAATATTGTTTGTTTAAAGAAAGCTGAAATATCAACAACAACTGGACGAAACAGCAAAGCAGAATCTTTTTGTGTCTGTCTGTAACTTATAAATATTTTAATTAAAAAATTTAAAGTTAAAATAAAAATACTTACTGTATAAACAACTCATAAATCATTATGCGCCGAACGGACGCACCACACAAGCATGCAAGAACGCACGCACTCACAGATTTTTAGTATTATATTGCTTCACGACGTTTCGGCCGTTCTACGCCCCGGCCTTCTTCAGGTGATATACGTTTGAATTTCGAACCGAGCCTTTTATTTAGTTCCAAAGGTTGTCATAATGGGGTAGTGGATAGGGGATCCCACTCTTGTCGGGTGTAGTAGCGGAGACGAGGCTCTCATTGTCTATAAAATGCCTCCATGACATGCGTCTAAATTAGCCTCTGATAACTAAGTCTAGCTCCGAGCCAGGGAACTACATCAGATATTTAGTCCATGGGAGTAGATTGTTCTAGTTCCACGTGCTATGCCTTTTTCTGGATATCTCAGTTTTAGTTATTTCTCTTTAGTAACTCGACTCTCCAAGTTTTTGTTCACCTCTACTGTGGGCAGATATTCAGCTAACAACTCTTTGAGTCAAGACACTGGATTACATCAACCAACACTTTTATCT